GGGATTTGGCGATTGGTCATCATTTGCTGGAGTTCCCCCTCCCCTTCTGCTGGGTGGGGAGTTAGAATGTGCTTTGTTTTGACTGAGATACCAGCTCCTTGATGCAGCTGCGAAGTTTGTTTTCCCATCCCCCTTGCCTATGGCAACTCGAGAGCAGGCCAGGGATGCTTTGTGAGTTGACACCTGTATCTGAGCCCGTAAGTCCACTGGCTCCCGAACCACAGAGAAGGACTCTACAGACAAAACCGCCCGGGGTAGGAGCTGGTCTTCAATGTGGAAGTACTCCGGTTTCCATGTCCGCCCTTTGGTTGCAACCGCTCGGGATGTAGGTGACATGGAAATTGAACCTGGCAAAGAAGAGGGACCACCTAATCTGGCATTGGTTCAATTTCCAGGAGGTCTGCAGGAACTTGAGCTTTTTGTGGACTGTCCAGACTTTGAGTTGATGCCGGGTCCCCTCCAAATGATGTCCCCTCCATATGATGAACCTGATTGTCTTTTTTTCTCTAATCCTGAGTTTCAGGACCGTGGTTGGGTTAATCAAGCATGTAGTGCAGCATGAGCCTATTAGAGCTTGAAAATTACCCTGAGTTCCTCTTTTTGGGGTGTGAGGCACATTGGGAAGACGAAAGGGTGGATTGGTTCACTCACCATTGGGTCATTTTCGCCTTCATCTTTGCTGTCATAGGGATTTGGCGATTGGTCATCATTTGCTGGAGTTCCCCATCCCCTTCTGCTGGGTGGGGAGTGGCTTCTACAGCCTTGAGGGCTTTTCGGGATATATCGGCGGCACGTCTGGGGCCTCATTCCGGTCGTGCCCTGGGTGGTGGCTATGGCTTGGGTTTCAGGGCTGGGGTCGCACAATCCAATGCCATGTGGCATATCCCTCCGCATCTGTAGCATTTCAGCTCGCTTCGTGGGAGAGTTGGTTGGGGCCAACTGTGGTGCTGCGGCCTCCCGTCGGCCGGATGATCTCTGGTCTGGTTGTCCTCTCTCCTTGGTGTCCGGTTGCTTTCTCATGTCATTAGCGTGCAATCCGCCGTCAACTTTTATGGCTACTTGGAACCACTCAGACAGTCAGTTCGGGATGTCCCGATAGGCGGTTACTTGGGCAATTTGCTTATCCAGGCTTGTTCTGAAAAAGTGAACTAAAAGCCGCTCTGGCAAAGGAGTTAGCCATCCCACAACTCTCCTGAACTCACGGATGTGTTCCTTAATGGGTCACCCTCTCTGCTTTAGGTTTCGGATTCTCCTCCACCTCCTCAAATTAGGCTTCTAGCCCATGTAGGAAATTGTCAAAGTCTTGCAGCTGGGGGGCTCTCTTGTGGAAGGCTGCTAGCTATTCCTTTGCTTCACCATGGCTCTGTGGGATGGGTAGAGGTGTCTGTAGTGCTCTAGGTGGACTCCAGCTGAGTCAAGGAATAGAGCCCACTGGTCTGGGTCCCCATCAAATTTCCCCCTCATTCAGTGCTGCTCCTCCCTCCTCATGTTGGCCCCCGTGTGCCTGTACTTGGTGTGTTTGGCGGTCTCCCTCGGCTTTAGTTCATAGAGAGAGGAGGGGCTGCCTGCCTTGGGCGACTTGCCTGTTGCGTGAGGGAGGTACTGGCTGCAGCCTCGGGCTCTTTCTCCTTCTGGTAGGTGGAGAAGGGGGACTGTATTCCAGTCTGCATCTCCTCCCTTCAAAGTGCTCAGTTGTAACCCTCCTCTCTTTTGGGAAACACGACAGCCCCTCTTCATGAAGGGTGGCTTGGTCAAATTCCTCCCTCAGCTGCTCTATGGATCTCCCCAAGGGTTTCATCAGAGTTTTTGGGAGCTTGGCCTGCTCCCGGTCCCACATCCATTCCACTCTTCCTAGTTTGCTCAGGGTCTTTCCCCAGCCCTGGGTGCTAAGGTGGGGGAACTTGATCTCAGCTGCTTTAGGGATTTTTTTTCCACCTATACTCATCCCTTTTTGTTTCAGTCCCTGGGACAGGCATCTCAGCTGTGTCAGCTTTGATGGTCGAGGAGGGCTGCACTTGCTCTGATTGGGCTGCTGGGTCCTAGAAGTCCCTGGATGGAGGCAAGTTCTGCCTGTTTCTGGGTTGCCTGAAGCAGGGTCTCTTCGGATAGTCCACCCTCTGCCATAGTGGCCTGAGTTTCTCTCCACACACCCCAGGTGTCGGGGAGCGGCTGGAGAGCCTGGGGCTAAGGCCTCCTGGTTGTTTTGATTAGTTTTGAGAGAGTTGGCTTGCTGTCAGGTTTCCGACTGATGCCCTAATTAAATTATGAGCCTTACACCAGGCTTCAAAAGAAATCCAGTTATTTATTAAGAGCTTCATGTCAGCATGGACCAAATGAAGCCAACTCTGACCTCATTATTTACATCCCAGCTCTGACCCTGTTTCCCCACTCCCCCAAGTTGTGTCATCAGTCACATTCTCCAATGAAGCAATTTCACAGGTTGTAGAGATCACTCCACTTCAGCCACTATGGGTTTCTGTGGAGATGACCTTGGCTTATCAGTTAGAATGTGCTTTGTTTTGACTGAGATACCAGCTCCTTGATGCAGCTGCGAAGTTTGTTTTCCCATCCCCCTTGCCTATGGCAACTCGAGAGNTTCTTCTTCTTCTTCTTCTTCTTCTTCTTCTTCTTCTTCTTCTTCTTCTTCTTCTTCTTCTTCTTCTTCTTCTTCTTCTTCTTCTTCTTTCTTCTAATAAAACGTAAATGTTCAGATCCGGAATTTAATCTCATTCAACCCTGTCAGAAATTATTGCTCTGTTCAAAACTGTAGCTAAACTGTATTTTTAAATTACCTCTCTTCAAGCGACTCACATAGTGGAATGCTTTTCAATCAAGTGTGGGAAACAGCTCTCTTGAGGCTCTGTATGAAAAAGTCACTTTTCTGTGTGTATTGATTTGTGATTTATTTGTCTATCTTTTGTATCCCTTGCTTTCTCATGTATCTTTAGGATGCTGAAGGAAGCTAAGGCACTCATATAAATAGTAATTTAATATTTATGCAACAAAACTAAAAGCAAGGCATTATTTAAAACTTTATGTCAATAATAATCCAACACATACATTTTTAATGAACATTTTAGGCATTATGAGAGAGTTATACAAACCATTTCCCAGGGCATGAAAATCCACAGCTTAGTTGCTAGGATGAAAAAGCTTGTCCTCTAATGTTTCCATCAATTGTGCATCTGATGCTATATGAATCAGAATCTTTCCTGATGATTATATGAGATAAAATAAGTTATTCAAGGTTGTGCAATTCTCACCTGTAGAATTCAAATGCTTACCAGGACATTTTTTGTTTAGATATAGACTTTGGTTCCAACAGCTGTTCTTTTCTTCTTTGGACATGATGTTATAACTGGAAAATATCCTTTAAATCAGGGGTATCAAACTCAAGGCCCGGGGTCTGGATCCAGCCCGTGGGATGCTTAGATCTGGCCCATGGGGCCGCCTTGGAAATAGCGAAGGACCAGGTCATGGGGCCTCTGCCAGAAAAAAATGGAGTTCAGGACAGCCGCGGGTTGCAGGAGGCCTTCGCAGCCGAAAACAGAGCTTGGGAGCCTGTTTTCGCTGGCAGAGCACTCAGCCACCACAGGCGCCCCTGACATGAGTGACATTGAGCTGGCCATGCCCACTCTGGCCATGCTCACCCTGATCCCTTGAGGTCCAATACAACATTTTCAAGAATAAATGTTACAACAGGTCAATATTGGAACAGTCCTTATTTGGTTACATAAGTGTTCATTATCAGAGTTCTATTTAGGAAGAAGAACTATATTATTGTGGCTCCATAGCATACTTCCTTTTCAGCTGCTAATGTAAGGTTTTCTATAAATTTGTTCCTGGGCTATCAACTTTCTCAATAGATCCTTTTTTGCTAGGAATGTTTAAGCAATCCCTTTGTTAAAAGAAGAGAGTTTACAGTTTATTAGGATTTGTATGCCCACTCTCGAGAGACTCAGGGCGGCTTACAGATAAAGGCAGGAAGGGGGAACATATAAAAATTAAAAAGAACAAAAATTAAAATT